GAGAGAGAGAGAGTGTGTGTGTGTGTGTGTGTGTGTGTGTGTGTGTGTGTGTGTGTGTGTGTGTGTGTGTGTGTGTGTGTGTGAAAAAAGCTTGTCATTGAGTTTGCAGGGCTTGCTAACTAGCACACACAGGGCCCACCTTTCTACCCAATTCCCTTTGGCTGATCTTGAAACAGCCCTCACGGATGTCTCTGCTCATCAGAGCTTTGAGTGTCTGCTTCTGTCGTGACAGTACTTTAGCCCTGCTTGACTCACTTCTTTCCTTAAACCTCATGGTTACTTTACTTCTCTTTTCAGTCTCCCGCCAAAGCCACACTTTAGGATCCCTTGCTATTTTTCCTGCCCATAATGCAGTTCTCCCGTAGAGCCTCATACTTCTGACCTTGCAGCACTTTCTACTTACAGGCTATCTTTTTTTTTTTTTTGGTGTGAAATGTGCCTTTTTATACTACTCTTCAGCAGACCCACCTCTTGCCTTCCTATTGGAAGGCCCACAGAAAAGGCGGTACACCAAAAGAAATTTCTTCTACTAGCTTCAATTTATCGAAAGCCCAACATGAGCCAAACATATGAATACAGTGGTGAGCCCATATTTTTAAGGCAAACACAGAGTCTGAAGCTCTGGTGAGTATCCTGCTGCAACTCTTGCTTTCATATACTACCAATGGCCTAGCTGCAAATTTTCTTATACACATACAGTGATCTTTGAAAATTAGGAAGTCTAAGACTTGGAATTCTCTAAGCAAGTTATATTATTCTGATTTTTCTACATTTAAAGCATGAGAAGTGCATGGTTATGAGAGTTACACAGAGAGACACAGAGTACATGCAAACCAAGCATTTGTCAAGTTTAAATAAGTAGTGATGCCAAGCTGCATTTCTTGCTCTGCACTTTCTGAAAGTGCCACAGTGCTAGCAAGGAAGTGGATATTCTCCAGTGACTTGCCCTGAATAACACAGGTGAAAAACACCTGTAACAGCAAATAACTGTTTTAAATTGTTCTGTCTTTTAGCACATATTTTGAAGAAATAGTTTACCAGTGCATGAAACCTTTGGCCAACTCTTAAGCACAGCTCTGTTCTAACAATTTTAATTGAGACCAATTCAGTGCTAACAGTCATATAGTAATTGCTGCCAACCACTAGTAAAAATACAGTCTGGCACCTGGAACCTTACACTTGTATCACATATATATATATATGTAATAAAAATTGGTGTGTGATTGTGTATGTATTACATAAATACACATGAGTATGATTATAGACGTACACTACATATTTTATCTATAAATTCATTTTTATAGGAAGAGATTCAGTGTAAAGGAATTCTTTTCAGACATTCTACTTTGCCTTTTTCCATATGGCACAGCTTTGTTTAGTCTCTTTTATAAATATATATTTTTTAATATGCAATACCCCTCCCCAGTTCAGGAAGTTAATTACAATAATAGATGGGGACTGGTTTCTGAACACCATTCTATAGGATAGTAAGAAAGCTTCCTATCTTGCCCAGAGTTGCCACGTTTTCTGTTAAAAAAAATGTTTAAATTATTGCTGCCCACGTAATTGGGATTAACTAAGATAAAGACTGAGGAACTACTGTATGTCTGTGCTTACTATGACAGCTAGGCTCTCTGAAAAACACCTCTGCCCCTATCTAAAGCTTTTTTTTCACAGCTTCAAACAGCACTAACAAGTTCTTTAAAACACTACAATAGCTTTGTTTCTTGTTCTGCTTTAATTAGCTTTCATGACGTCTGCTCTGGGTTTTTTT